GAAATAAACAATAGGGAGGTCAAATTCATTTTTGAAATGTCCACTAAATTTATTCCAGATCGTGAAAATTTAGCAAGGCGTAGGAGGAAGCTCCTGATAAATGTAATCTTTGACATCTGGCTACAGATGAGATGTATGGTATTCATTTAACAATAGGAGTAAAAATCGAGGATGCTAATCTGCAAACGTGTGCCAGTAGCTTTTGCCCAGCAGCGCTCGCAGACGCTTCGGACCACACCCCCAGGGTCCCCGCGGGCGCGACGGAACGTCTACCTTCAGATAGTCTTCGGTGCAGAAAACGTCGGCGTCTCTGATAGAGACGCCTCGGAGGGGCAGAGAGAGAAAGACCGTAGTTTCCGTTTGCTGCCAGCTGTAATCGCTAACCGGGAGGGGCATCCCGGGAGGCGACCGAAAATTTGGCACAGCTGATTGCTGCTAGCGCCCTCTTGGTTGCTAGGGAAGCTGAGGTCACCGCACGCTATCCCTTCCGGGTCAGGCCTTGTCAGGCGCCCCGCAGTCACTTAATTCCTAGGGTGAGTCTCTTCTTTCGCCCCACAGACCCTGTTTCTTGACTTCCTAGTTGACTGGAAAATGGCATTAGTTTTGTGGCCTTACCCCGTTACATGCTACAAGATCGAAATGTCGAAGGAGGACCAAATCTTCTGCTTAATAAAGTCAATAACTTCATGCCTGAAATGTGAAAGATGTGGGCCTATGGTTAGTAAAGTGCTACCAGCAAGGAGTGTTATTGCAGCCCTTTGGCCTTTGTTATTGTTCTGACAGAAGCTATAGGAACCCACACCGTTTAATGTTTCTGGGTTCTCCAGACTTCTAGGTCAGCAAGAAAATGTGTCCTAGTAGCTTGCACTGTTGTAGGCTGCCAATTACTATTATTTCTAAAGTCACCAAATGCTCCTAAGAGTCGGAATTAATTCAGGGGCACACAACAACAACGAAAAGTTGGAGGGGTACCTGAGAAGAAAGGTCTGGCTATCTACTTCCTCAAAAACATCATGTTAAGGACCTTCAAGTTGGTTTAGACTCATAGGCAACCCTATGCATAAAAGAACAAAACACTGCCTGGGCCTATGACATCATCACAATTATTATGCATGAGGCCCACTATTGATATCACTGTTAATCACCTCTTTTCCCCTGACCGTTCACTTTTCCAAGAATGATGTCACTCTCCAGGGGCTGGTTCCTCCTAACAAAGTGTCCAAAGTACAAGAGACTAAGTCTTGCCATCTTTGATTCTAAGGAACATTCTGGTTGCACTTTTTGTAAGGTTTGTTTGTATTTCTAGCAGTCCTTGGTACTTTCAGTATTCTTCTCCAATACTATGATTCAAATAAATAGATTCTTCTACGGTTTTCTTTATTCATTGTCCAACTTTCACATGCATATGAGGTCATAGAAAATACCTTGGCTTGGGTCAGGTGCACTTTAACTTCAAAATGACATCTTTGCTCTTTAACACTTTAAAGAGGTCTTTTTCAGCAGATTTGTCTAATGCAATAGTTTGCTTGATTTCTTGACTGCTGCTTCCATGAGCATTGATTGTGGACCCAAGCAAAATAAAGTCTTTGTGAACTTCTGTATTTTCTCCACTTAATGATGTCAATTGCTGTAACAGTTGTGAGGATTTTTGTTTACTTTGCACTGAAATGCAATCCATACTGAAGGCACAGTGTTGTTGTTTTGGGGTACCATGGAGTCCATATCAACTCATAGCAACCCTATGCAAAACAGAATGAAACACTGCTTCATCCTGTGCCAACCTCACAGTCGTTGCTACATTTGTGCTCATTGATGCTGCCACTGTGCCAGTCCACCTCATTGGGGGCTTCCTCTTTTTCTCTGACCCTCCATGTTACCAAAAAAGATATTCTTCTACAGGCACTGGTCCCTCCCGATAATATGTCTAAAATAAGTGAGACGGAGTCTGGCCATCCTGGCTTTCAGAGAGCATTCTGACTGTACTTCTTCCAATGCAGATTGGTTTGCTCTTTTGGCAGTCCATGGTACTTTTAATATTCTCCTCCAACACCATAACTCAAATGCATCAATTCTACAGTCTTCCTTATTTGATGTCCAACTTTCACATGCATATGAGGTTATTGAAAATACTATGTCTTGGGTTAGGCACACCTTAGTCCTCAAACTGACATCTTTGCTTTTGAACTCTTTAAAGAGGTCTTGTATAGCAGATTTGCCTACTGCAATATGTTGTTGAATTTCTCGACTGTTGCTTCCATGAGCATTGTGGCTGATCCAAGCAGAATGAAGTCTTTGACAAATTTAATCTTTTCTTCATTTATATCCATATTGTTTATTGGTCCAGTCGTTAAGTATTTTTGTCTTCTTTACATTGAAGTGCAACCCATACTGAAGGCTGTGGTCTTTGATCTTCATTAGTAAGTATTTTAAGTCCTCTTCACTTTCAACATGTAAGGTTTCATCTGTATATCACAGGTTGTTACTGAGTCTTCCTCCAATCCTGATGCTACATTCTTCTTTATATAATCCAGTTTCTCAGATTATGTGCTCTGCATAGAGTGAATAAGTATGGTGAAAGAATACAACTCTGGCACACACTTTTCCTAGTTTTAAACCAGTGTCCCCTTGTTCTGTTTGAACAAATGCCTCTTGATCTATGTACTTGTTCCTCAAAAGCACAATTCAGTGTTTCGGAAATACTCATTCTCTGCAATGCTGTCCATAGCTTGTCATGATCCACACAATCGAAAACCTTTGTGTAGTCAATAAAGCACAGGTAAGCATCTTTCTGATACTCTATGTTTTCAGCCAAGATCCATCTGACATAAGCAATGATATCCCTCAACCTCCCATGTCCTCTTCTGAATCCAGCTCGAACCTCTGGAAGTTCTCTGTCAGTGTATGCTTGCAATCATTTTTTTAATTATCTTCAGCAAAATTTTGCTTGCATGGGATATTAATGATATTGTCTGACGATTTTTGTATTCCACTGGGTCACCTCTCTTTGTAATGGGCAAAATATGGATCTCTTCCAGTCAGGTGGCCAGGTATCTGTCTTCCAAATTTCTTGGCTTAGATGAGTGAGTGCCTCCAGTGCTACATCAGTTTGTTGAAAGATTTCCATTTGTATTCCGTAAATTTCTGGAGCCTTGGTTTTTTCGAATGCCTTCGAAGTACCTAAGACTTCTTCCTTCAGAATCATTGGCTCTTGATCATATGCTACCTCTTCAAATGGTTTAACATCAACCATCTCTTTCTTGTACAGTGACTGTGTACTCCCTCCATCTTCTTTTGATGCTTTCTGCATCATTCAATATTTTGCCCATAGAATCCTTCAATATTGTAAGTCAAGGCTTGGATTTTTTCTTTCAGTTCTCTCACCTTGAGGAATGCTGAGTGTATTCTTCCCTTTTGGTTTACTAACTCCAGGTCTTTGCACATTTCATTACAATACTTGATTTTGTCTTCTTGAACTGCCCTTGAAATTTTCTGTTCAGCTCTTTTTCTTCTCCGTTTCTTTCATTTGCTTTAGCATCTCTATGCTGGAGAGCAAGTTTATGAGTCTCTTCTGACATCCATTTTGGTCTTACTCTTATTTGTCATCTTAATGACCTTTTGCTTTCTTCCTGTATAATGTTCTTGATGTGAGCCTACAACTCTTCTGGTCTTTGGTCTTTAGTGTCTAAAGCGTCAAAATTGTTCATGAGATGATCTCTAAATTCAGATGGGATATGTTCAAGGTCATACTTTGGCTCTTGTGGACTTGTTTTAATTTTCTTCAGCTTCAGTCTGAACTTGCATATGAGCAATTGATGGTCTGTTCCAAAACTTGTGCCTGGCCTTGTTTTGGCTGATAATATGGTGCTTTCCCACCATTTCTTTCCACACATGTAGTCAATTTGATTTCTGTGTTCTATTGGTGATGTCCATGTGTATAGTCATCTTTCATGTTGCTTTAAAAGGTATTTGCAATGAATAAGTCATTGTTCTTGCAAAATTCTATCATGTGATCTCCATCATAATTTTTATCCCCAAGGCCATATTTTCCAACTACTGATCCTCCCTGTTTCCAACCTTTGCATTCCAATTACTTTGCATTGCCATTAATTATCACTCTTGATGGTATGTTTGATCAATTTCAGACTTAAGAAATTGGTGGAATTCTTCAATGTCATCATCACTGGCTTTACTGGTTGGTGCATAAATTTGAATAATAGTGGTATTAACTGGTCTTCCTTATAGGAGCATGGATATTATACTATCATAGACAGTGCTGTACTTCAAGACAGATCTTGATATGCTCTTTTTGATTAATGCTATGCTATTCCTTCTCGATTTGTCATTCCTGGCATAGTAAACCATGTGACTGTCAGATTCAAAATGACCAATGCCTGTCCATTTCAGCTTACTAATAGCTAGCATATCAATGTTTTGTGTTCTATTTAATTTTTGATAATTTCCAAATTTCCTAGATTCATACTTCACCCATTCCATATTCTGATTATTAATGG